ATTCCTCTTATAAATAATTTGTGGTGGTAAAGAAATATGTGAATGATAGGAAGATATTATTACTTATGGATGAAAAATATAAATTTATTTTTAAGTATAAAAACCTTAAATTAATCAACTTTTTATCATGTTAACAGCTTAAAGGGTATTTCAGACATTTTGATTTAAAAAAGTGTTTACCAGCACTTATTTGCCAAACACATCAATAAATTTTTTTTCAACTGCAGCACTTTTATCCAAATACATAACTACTTATTTTTAAAATAAGTTCCAGCATTTTTAAAAGTTACTTTTTTAAAGTCAATCCAAACAGATTCTTAATCTTGACCGGCAACTCTATCCTTCTCAGCTACATCTCCATTAGTTTCTTGCAAACTCTTTTTTTTTTCTTGTTACAACTTAATTACCTCCTCAGTGGATTAACTATGATATCATGTTCATCCCCCTTTTTCTCATCTTACTTACTATTCTAGCAAGGACAATTGCATCACAAATAATTGAAGGTCAAAACTTTGACAATAAATCCGGAGATATTTAACAGTGTAATCAAAAGACACTAGGGAAGCAAAAGAAAAGAAAAACAATGAACTTTCAAAATCAACGACGACTGTGCTTCAATCCTAAACTAATTGGCTTGTTCTATTCCATAACCCAAAGAAGAAGAAAAATCTCATATTCATCCATAAACTCTCTCAACAAAGAACTAACAACAGTAACAGTTACCAGAGAGAGAGAAACAACCTTGATATCCTCTTTGGAGACGCCGTAATCAAGATTGGAGATGTAGAGTTTAGTCCCAGTCTCTATGGAAGACGCCCGACCACCAGCTTGACCAAAGGCGACGGCTTGATCTGCCGCGAACATATCATGATTCCACGACGCTTCAGGGGCCTGAACCGCCAGCAACTTGGATAAGATACAATAATTTCATCCACGTTCAAAATCCAGAAAAAATTTCCAATATTTTTCAATTAAAAAAATTCAACCTTGGCGGTGGAATAAGGTGCAGCTCGGTTAGCAGAACGATTAGGGAACCGTCTCGAAGGTCCAGCACTGGAGGTGGAGGCGGCGCCGCAGCCTCTGCCACGAGGTTTACCTCCGGTACCGGTCTTATTCTTCTTGATGAGATCGTCGAGAGTCATATCCAAAGCTGCCTCAGCCATTTGTAATTGCCTCTTTGTTTGTGAAAGGAGAAGGAAAAATTAGGTAAGAATGCCTCACAAGTCTCCAATTAAAAAAAAGGGACAAGTGGGGCCTCTTCATCTCTTCCTCAATTTAATTTAACTCTTAATTAATATATTGGACCAAATTAGTATTTTTTTAAACTTAGGAGACTTTATTTTAAATTGTGAAGCATATTAAGAATGGAAAAAACCTTTTAACGTATTCAATTTTCTTTTTAAAACTGAAGTTATAGGGGAACGTTGGAATCCAAGAACGGGACTTTTTTTTTTCAAAAAAAAAAA